GTAAATCCATATTATCCCATAGCAAATTTGTTGCAAAGGTTGTCTTTTGGAAGATTCATCCTTCCTTCCCCTTAGCAGAGTTAATGCAAATGATGTCCCTTTCGAAGGTTGATATCCACATAAGAGCTTCACTCTACATGCTTCCTCGACAAGTATTCATCCTTCCGTAACAAATTCTATGAGGGTTCCTCTCATTCCCAATCAGAGCGTTAGAAATTTGTGTTGCATAATTTCCCTAGTGGAGTTCATATTCATTTCCCCTCAGTGAATTATTGGTAATATAAATTTCAATTTTGGGTTTCTCCACAAGAAGTATCTTTGTCTCCTCAGAGATTTGAGCCTTGTAGTAGGACTTTGTTCCTTCAGTGGCTTTTGTTTATCTCCAGCTGAATCCCTAGCAGATTATCTTTCAGTAGTGTTAGTCGAGTATCTGGTTGTACTGTGGCGATTGGTCATCCCTGATTTATCTTTATGCTTGTTTTGTCAGCATATACATGCATTCATTCATTCATACACACATCATACAGTTCATATTCATCTTGTGTTTCCTGGTGTTTCTTAACCATAATCTCTAGTATTGTTATCCCCCACAGAGTGTTAATATCCTCTCCATGAGAGTGTCTACCTTTAAGCAGAAAGTTTATATCCTTTCTAAGTATCCACTGAGTTTATTCCTCAGGGGAGGGTTTGTTTTAGTATTCCTTTCCAACTCATTGCTAGATGGAACCACTCCACAATTGAGTTATTCCCTCATTGGATAGAGTCTTTTTTTACCGTTTCTCTTCAGTTTGTTCCTGGATTGAACTTTGGTCTCCTGCAGCAGTTATTTTGAATCTCTCTAGGCTGTGAGACCTGGATGATGAGAAAGCATTTACTCTATACATTTGAGGATTTATTTTTCTTAGAAGATGAAGATTTTATTTCCCCGGTAGTGTTGTAATAACACTTTCTTGGAACTTTTACCTAACAGTGGGGGGCTACCTCAGAAGCTTGCATGTCCCCAGCATGGTGAGCCTTACCTAGTAAACAAGTGGCAGTCGTTCTTCAAAAAGGTACAGTCTTTTCTTTTGTTTACTTAACTTGAAAAAGGTACGATTTGTAGTGGTCCCAACCAACACCATGTCTGTTAGTTTAACATTTATTAACATACTTTATTGCAGTAAGATTATTTAACTTTCGTCGTGGTAATATCTATTATAGGCCAGTAACCCTAGTTTAACCATTAGGTATTTTTGTAATTGTAGAACATGGATGTATTCACTGTAATTTTCCATCATAGGGGACACTTTGTACATGATAAGTTCACATTTTATAAGGGGAATGACACGACTGTGGAAGGTCAAGATTCTGATACTTGGAGTTATTTTGAGGCTTTGAGTTTGGTTAAGGATTGGGGATATGATGGATTTAGGTTGTGGACAAAACTCCCAGGGATTGAGGAAAGGTTTCTTCATATATTTGATGATGTACTAGCTAGAGAAATTGTCAAACACATCATTGATAACAAAGTTGATGGCCATATTTGGGTTGAGCATGGAGTTGAAGATACTATAGGTAAGGTTATAATTCCTATTGTTGTTCAATTCAATGAAGGTAGTGATGACAGTTATAGTAGTGATGATGTAGTTAGAGGCATTAGGTTTGATGATAGTGAAGAAGAAATAATAAAGGAAAAAAATGAAGGCTTTGTGAATGTTGTGGTGAAAAACTTTACTAGTGTTACAAGGGTTGATGTTAATGGAAAATCTCTTAGGTACAAAGTAAGGGCAAAAAAAACCAAGACAAGCAAGGTGGTCACTCTAAGCTAAATTTATATGTGCCTGCAAAAAATATTGGGGTCTAGTTCTAGAAGGTTACCCAATAATATACCAAGAGACATTGAGGATAATGGAAGTGAAGAATTAGATAGTTTTGATCCTGATTGTAGTGGTGATGAAAAGCTCCCTAAGTATGGGCAGTTCATAAATGAGTTGTTGAACAAGGACTTTAAGCTCAAACATGGCATGGAATTTACCTCATTAAGTAAATTTAAATATTATATAAGAGAGTGGTTTGTTCTTAATGGTAGGGAGATAAAGTTTGTAAAGAATGAAAGTTATAGGGTTTGGGTAGAGTGTAAGGGAAAATGTGGTTTTTTTAGCATTGTGTAGTAAATTAGGTGACAGACACACCTACCTATTAAAAACATGGGTGGGGACACACACATGTGCTAGGGTTTTAGATAAGAGATCAGCCAATTCCAAGTGGGTTTCCAAATCAGTGGGTGAAAAAGAATCCATGGATAAGGTGAAAGTCTCTGAAATTATGTTTGAGCTAAGGAAAAAGTATTATGTTGGCATCACCAAAGATAAGGCATGGAAGACTCAGACAATGGCTGATGAAGTGGTTGGAGGGGATGCAGCAAAATAATATTCCTTGTTATGGAACTATGCTGCAGAGTTAAAAAAGCAATATGGGGGGAACACTATTAAGAGCAACATGCAGAGGAGAATACCAAGCCTTCCACCAAGATTTGAGAGATTTTATTTCTATTTTGATGGATGCAAAAATGGATTTATTAAAGGTTGTAGACCTTTCATTGAAGTTGATGGGTGCCACCTCAAAAAAAAGTATGGTGGACAGTTATTGGTTGTTGTAGCAAGAGATCCAAATGATCAGTATTACCCTTTAGCTTTTGGTGTAGTTGAGACAGAGACAAAAGATAGATGGAAATGGTTTCTAGAGTTACTTCTTCAAGGTATTGGTGTAGAAAGAAGATATGTATTTTAAATCAGACCAACAGAAGGTACTTTTATATTGTTTCACTCAATTCTTGTTTGATTCACTTATGTTGTATTATACCTTCATCTAATTGTTGACTCTATGAATTTTGTTGTAGGGACTGGTTGGTGTATTTGAAGAAATGTTTGAACACATTGAACCCAGAATATGTCTTAGGCACCTGTATGCTAATTTCAAGAATAAGTTTGGAGGTGGAGGTTCAATAACAGACTTAATCATGGGAGCTACAAAAGCTACTTATTAACAATCATGGGAGAAGAAGATGACTGAGCTAAAGCAACTGGACAAGAAGGCATGAGAATGGCTGATGGGAGTCACTATAAAACTATGATGTAAGAATTCTTTTAGCTATTACCCAAAATGTGATGTATTAATGAACAATCTTAGTGAGTCTTTTAATAGAATTATTTTACAAGCTAGGGATAAGCCAATCCTCACAATGTGTGAGTGGATTAGTAACTATCTAATGAATAGGATTGCTACAAATTTAGTTAAACTAGATAAATGGATACATAATATCATGCCAATACCTAGAAAGAGACTAGATAAGAAGGTGTTGTTGAGTGGTCATTGGCTGCCAACATAGAGTATGGGTGAGGTTCGGAAAGTTAATCATCCATTCAATGGGCTACAATTTTTTGTGGATATTGGGGAAAAACTTGCACATGTTGCTTTTGGAAATTAGTTGGTATTACATGCCAACATGCTGTGGTTGTAATGCAGTATCAAAGTCTTAATCCATAATTGTATGTTGATGACTGTTACAAGAGGGAGCTATATAAATTGTGTTATGAGAACAATGTTATCCCAATCTATGGCAAGGACATGCGGCCAACTGTGGAAGTTGAAGAAATGTTACCCCCAAATTTTAAGAAGGGTTCAGGTAGGCCAAAAAAATTATGGTGGAGAAAGCAAAGCATGAGGAGGCCTGGTGTGGCTTAATGCATTAAAGAGAAAGGTATATTATTTGTCATTGTCATTGTTTGTTTATTGCATTGATTGTGTGAACTCATTATTATTGTTGGTTTATTATCTTTGTGTGTGTGCAGAGAAAAAAACTCAGAACCAATGGTGAGACCCCAAAAAATAACAACACAGTTGAACCAACTTTAGAGCAAGCACATGCTGAAACTTTTGAACCTAATCTCACTTTTGAACCTGGTGAAGTTGTTGAACCAACTATAAATGATCCTTTCTATGATCCAGAAGTTGATGACATAATTGAAGACATGCTTGCTTCTCAGTTGCTTCCTACTGAAGTTTCTTTTCAACCAAATGATACTCAACAGTCTCAACTAATTAATCCTACCCCAAAGAAGAAGAAAATTGGAAAGTTTAAGATGTTTAAGAAGAAAACTCAAGCACCTACCAGGAGTAGTGAAAGGCTAAAAAGTATCTTTAGGCAAGACAAATGCTCTGGACCAGGTTCAACTGCTGATGCACCTTTAGAAATTGAGGATTCACATGTTGATGATGCACTTGCTACTACTACTAGCCAAGCAGACCCCAAAGTAGGGACATGTGTGCACATGATGAAATCATAGGATGAGATATCTAAGAAACTGACTCAGTAATGTGTATTGTTATTATGTCATGATAGATGTCATTTTGTATGTTGTAATGTCTTTATATTTTGTAAGTTGGAACAATATGTCATTTTGTATTGTGAGTTGTAATGACATTATGCCTATGGCAGCTTAATTATATATGGAGGTGCTATTTTTTAATATATGTTGTTTAATTATGCCTATGTTTTTAACATGTTGTACTGTCGCCTTTGTTAACATGTTGTACTGCCACCTTTGTTAACATTTTATAAGTTGGTACAACAAGATTAATGCACATTATGTTCTTAATGCACAAGATTAATGCACAAGGTTGTATTGTAAGCAAAAACAGTATGTCATTATCTTCACAGGATTAATGCAAAAGTTACTAGAATTGTAAGCAAAACCTTTGTTTTCATTCAATTCACATCAACCATGTTTTTAGAATGTTGTACTGTTACCTTTGTTAACATTTTGTAAGTTGGTACAACAAGATTAATGCACATTGTGTGCTTAATGCACAAGGTTTTACTGTAATTGTAAGCAAAAACTTTGTTTTCATTCAATTCAAATTAACCAATTTGTTAACAGATCATAACATTCATTAATACATCATAATACAACATTCATTCTACATGATTAACACTTAAAACATTACAATTATCAGCTTGCTTAGACAATGACAAAATAAACCCAAGAACAAATAAGAACTACAACTACAAAGGCCAGCTTCTTCCTTGTGTTCTCTAACTTGTTCCTCATCTCTTCCATCTCCTTAGAACACGGTTTTGTCCCAAATCCTCTTCCAAATTCTTTCCTAAAATATTTTCCAAATTTTCTCAAATGCTCTATCATGACATTACATCTACTACAACCATCATCACCTTCCTCAATTCTCTTCCTATCAATAGAACCAAAGTACTTATCATCCCAATAAAATAGCTGGCAGACTTCTTCTTTCCCCCAAAATCTACATTTCCAATATTTTCTACCAGGATTTGCATCTGACTTTGAAACGAACATCTTCATTGAAAGACTGTGTCCACATTTGGGAGTGCTTCTACCATTATAGGAAATAATAATCTTTGAACTTCTAGCCATTGATCGTGTACGCAGTTATATGTGGAGAAAGAAGGATGAATATGAAGATTTTATGCTCCTGCAGATGGTATTTCGAAGAAGGGAGAAGAAACTTGGATTATGCGTAAAAATAGATTTGGGATTTAGGGTTGGAGAATTTTAATGTGTGTAAAAATTATCATCTGCATATATTACATGTGGTATAGTAATAACATGTAACTAAGAAAAGAATTACACATAAGCAAAGCCACATCAAACAAGTTGGTGAGTTGGTTTAATGAGGGACTGAATCAGGGGAATCTTCAAATATTAGGGGGGAATCTAAATTTTTTTTACAGGGGGTTTTTCAAATTTCGCCCAAATGGCAGGGGACAAAATAGTTATTAACCCTTTAATTTTTGTTTTTGTGTTATGTTATTTCACTACATTTCTCTGAAATTCTCCATGCTGACTTTCAATAAATGAAAGTGAAGCATGTGATTAAATTCGTGATGAGCTAACGATCATAATAGTGGTGGTTCTAATGTTGTCATTTGCCAAAACTCCGGTGAGGTGTGAATGGAGATGATGACCGGAATACAAGAGGTGGTCAGAGTTTGTTTTAAGTTTAAAATGGGTTATGTGTGATATTTCACTTAAGTTCCACTATGTGCCTTTGATCTGGACCCTCAGATGAGTTTACTTTCGTTGGTCCACATAGATCTAATAGACCACTCATTTTAATGATCCAACGTGTTTTTCCATTTTAAGTCCATCATACACTGCAGATTTGGACCTTCCATTGTGCGTACTTTAATTAGTCAGCGCAGATCCAAGGACTATGGTTATTTCCTTCTTTTTATTGTATTTCCTATATTTTCTTTTTATCATTTAAATTCAAAAATTAATAAAAATGCATCCCTTAATATTTTTCACTCCATTTTTTTTCATAGTTTCATAAAACTATTTTCTATTTTCTGAACCATTTTTCATATTTTTATTTCATCATTTTCTTTTTTTTCTTTTTTTATTTATTTTTCATGCATTTTAAATAGTTTAAAATTGTTTTTATGCATTTAAAAATTCTCCAAAAACTTATATGTGATTCTTGAGTTTTTTTTGGCTTGGAGAAATTTTCTTGAGCTTTGATTGGTTGTTTAGATACCTCATTCTTATTTTCTCTCTTATTTTAATTTTAAACTTGGATCATAACTCGTTGATCAAGTTTATCCTCAGTCTCAATGGACTTTGAGTGTTAATGAGATTGGATGAACCTTCATCAATACAAATTTATCATTAAATGAACCATTTGATTCATTTTTGGTGTTTTGGATTGATGATAATTAGTACCTTAATCCATCAAGAAATGTGATTGAAATTGATGATGAAGTGATCTTGAATAGTGATTCAATTTGGTCCTCTCTTCATCTTTCCTTTTTTTCTTTCTTTTTATTTTCTCTTGATCAATTAGATGAAGTGTAGTCAATCTTGTTCATGAGATATGGATTGGTGCTTGCTTTCATCATTTCAAATCTACCATTTGATTGATCATTTATCATTGGAGGTACTTTGCATTGATGCATAAGTTTGTCCTAAGTTTCATGAAAGATTGATTGATGTAATAAACCAATCTCCTTGTCTTAGTGTTTGATCCCTTCTTGGTTTTTGTTCTACATGTTTTAGAAGTATGATCTCTATCATATCTCTAACATGTATGGTACATAAATTTTTATTGACCGGCCTCCCATAGTATAATTTTCTTTATAGATTTTGCTACGATTATTTAACATAGTGCTAAATTTGAACCGAATTGGATTATTAATTCTAACACTTATACTAACCATATAATTGTGCTAACATTTATTTTTATCCATTTACTTTTATGCACCTTTATTTTAATGTCATTTACTTTCTTACACCTTATATTTCTTTATTATTATCGTTTGTAGATCATATTGTTATTGTTTATGTTTATGTCTTTTTTTTCTTTGTCCATTTAGACTTTTGTTTTTCTTTTTCTCAAGACATTAATAAATGCTAAACACTAAAAGACTTAATGCTTCCATTTTACTATTTGGTTACTATCTCTTGCTTGGATGTTGGACTTATGGACTTAGAATTAGGTTGTTGATCCTATGTTTTGGAGTTGTAACTTGAGACTTTGAAATTCATTTGGAACCTTGAATTTGAGTTGACTGTTGGAAGACTTAGCTCTGTTACTTCATCTTTGGCCTTAGTTAAAGTTCTTCTTTATCTGATGCTTGGTTATTTCTCTACTTATTTGGTTGCTCTTGGTTAGATCTTTCCTTCCTTAAATTTTATTTTGTGCTTTAGGATAGTCACTTCATCTCTTTCTCTTTCTTTAATTTTCAAAATCTTCTTGTTTTCAAACTTGAACCACTTTCTTAATAAATCTTGACTTTGTCAAGTGATTTTCAAACTCTTTTCTTAAATAAATGATAATCAATCTTAAGCATATGAATATCATTTTAATAAGACATAAAAAAATCAAACTATTTTGTGCCCTTTATGCACTTTTCCTTTTAAAGTTTTTCTTAATGTTTAGATATGAGTCATTTTCATAGTTGAAATGTAATTCTCCTATCTCCATAGTTATGTTTGATGTTTATTATTTTCCACTTGAGAGAGTTAGTGGCATACTTGTGGATTTCAATCCAAGTTGGAGCCCTTCTCAATAGTGATGCAAAGTTCCATTATCATACACTTGTGGGCGACTAGTTGAGTTTTCTCCTTAAAATGACAACTTGTCTTGTCCATTTAAAATCAATTACAACAAACTTCTTTGTTATTTTTACCACGAATTACGAGGTTTTGATCATCCATTTCACTTTGTGGATACGTAGGCATGAGGCTCAGGAAGTCTTGTCAAACACAAAAACTCTAAAATATATTTCTCTTCTCATCTCCATCCTCTTTTGCAAACAACACCATTTTAAGCCAAACATAGATTTTTAAGAGGTTCCTATATAGTGTTGCGGTGGAAATATGATTACAAACTATTGATGAGTTTGAATCGCAATTCAATTCGCAACCGCTCTTTGATTTATCCGAAGGAAAAGGTCAAAAAGGGAAAACCTATTTTGCATCGTAAACACAATGCGGGGAAAGATCTAGGGTTCGGGGGTTGGTTAAATTTAGGGAAGGTATTAGCACCCTAAACTTCCGTAGTACTCTACGGGAACCTTTTGTTCAAATGTTTACTATTTGCTTTATTTATTTGCTCGAGGTATATGTACAAAGGATTAAAAATGAGAAAGTAAACCTAAGGGGTTAATTCTAAGTTTACTTGGCAAGACATCGCATCTTGTGCCTACGTATCCTTACGGGAGTGGAATCAGAGTAATCGTAGTTCCCCTCAAAAGGGAGGTTAGAAAGGTCTTGACTGTGGCCAAGGTTTCAATGGGGAACAAACGCATCTTAAGGACACGCTTACGCGGAGTGTAGAAACTCCAATATCTACGTTGTAAATTGTTAAGTTGTAATTAGGGTTAAATTAGGGATTCCACGGCGGGAAACCCTAAAATGAGCGCGGCGGCTCTTTGACCTAATGCTAGGGGTAAAATTGTAATCTTGCCTGCGGCGAGGCATTTTGTGAAAATTAGGGTTTGTGAGGTTGTAAGGGTTTGAAGTTGAGGACTATTGGCGCGGCGACCAAAAGCTAGACCTAACCTTCGGATGTGTGTAATGTGACAGAATAATAGATAAATGTGGGAGAAATTGAATCATGCAAACAGAGACTAATATCCTAATTTAACCATGCAAGCAGAAATTTAAAGGGCAGTAATTAAAGCGCGATTATTAGGATTCGCGAGGTTACAACCGAGAAACAATACAATAATGATAAAACTTAAATAAAACACCACACAATAATAGTGAACATGAGCTGCAAAAGATGAACACCCGTTAGTAAACAATGTTAGACAGTAATGGGACGGGTCAGGAGGAAAAATGCAATATTGAAGATTTTTGTTGTTTTGAAAGAAAGAAATCTGATTAAGTGAAGAGACGTTAGCAAAAAAAGAGATTAATTTTAATTTTCGAAAAAATGGTTTTAATTCAATTATCTACAAAAAAACATTTTTTGATTATTTAAAAGGGTTTTTTATTTATAACAAAGAAAAGTTTTTTTTAGTTTTTTATTTATTTTTTTTTTAAACAAATTCAGAATTTATATAAAGAAAAGTTTTTGAAAAAAACAGTTTTTAAATATAAAACCAGAATAAAATAAAAACATTTTTTAAAATCAGTTTATAAAAATAAAAGGGTTGGGCCGGTCATCACCTCCGGACCCAACCCGGTTGGTGAGTCATGAGAAACAAAACGTAAGTGTAGGGTTTCAGAACCCTAATGTCATTCGCGGCGCCATTTGCATCTTCTTCTTCTCTCTCGATTCTTTCTCGCTCGCACTCTCATTCACGATATCACTCGTCTTCTTCTCCATTTATGGCTTCTATTTACGTTTTTCCTGAAAAAAACATGAAAAGCAACCTGTTAACCAAGTGATGGCTTACGTTTCTGGTTTCACGGCGGGATGACGACGATGATGACACCGAGAATCTCCTCGTGTCTGAGTCTAACAGGCTTTGGCGTTTTTATGGATGATCAATGGTGATATTGGTCGATGATGAGTTCTCTGAGACCCGAGGCGGTTGATTGCCCGTCGTTTGGTTAAACGGCGCCGGCGGTCTTTCGTGTGAACGAGTTGAAGTCTTGTGATGGTTTTGGTGGAAAACTTCTTCTTCTTCTGATGTCGCGGCCGTTAGGGTTTGCTCGCGATGGTGGTTTCGCCGTTCTCTCTATGGAGCTGTCGCGATTTTCCTTAGGGTTTCTTCACAGGTGAAATTGTTCCCCTTTTTATAGTCTCTGACTCTCTCTTTTGGGCCTTGGTTAACAATGGATTTGCGTTATATTTTAGTGATAAGATTTGATTTCATTCGTATCTTGTGATGATTGGATTCTGATTGGGATTTCTTCCTCTTTTGGGAATCGTAACCGAACTTTGTCTGGGTATTTGCGGTTTA